GTTAGGACTAATTAACTTCACTAGGGCAGACATGAAGAAAATAATACTTTTGGTAACTTTTCTTAAACTAAACATGTTTGGTTAGGACTAATTAACTTCACTAGGGCAGACATGAAGAAAATAATACTTTTGGTAACTTTTCTTAAGCTAAACATGTTTGGCGAACACTCCCTTTAAGCTAAACATGTTTCGCGAACACTCCCTTTAAGCTAAACATGTTTCGTTAGGACTAATTAACTTTCCGTTAAGGGACTGTACAAGCGTAATTTCAAGTGACCTGCAAGGTTGGCATTGTCCGATTTACAATGGTACACATCAAATCTGATAAAAAATAAATGTGGAAGATAACGACGTTTTTCTGACTCAAAAAGTGTTTGATTCTGATCGTCTCTTCGTTGTTTCTTTTAATGAGCGGTAAATACAAAATTTACTTTTGCGGAAAACCCACAAATGAAAATAAACAGTTTACAAGAACAAAAACATTGATATCTAATTCAAGTTTGATCCGACAAAGCTATTAATGATACCGTTGTAAATCAGTCATTGCCATCCTTGCACTTGAAATTACGCTCACAGTCCCTTTAATATACAGGGTTACCCACAAACACTATAAAATTAATGACGACCCAAAGCTGTTAAAAGATAGAACCTATATAAAGTTTAACTTGTGTTTTTGTCAAAACTATATTTTATCAGGGATTGATGAGTTGGCAAAGAGTGAAACAAAGGAATTGAGTTTCTGCCACAAACTCTGATTTTCTAATCTTTGCAACTTGATGTTGTAGATCTCTGATATTTCAAACTATAAATTCTGTTAGGTTAAATAGTATGAGTTAGAAATATGAAAGGTTTAAACCGTCAAGTTACAAAGATAAGGGGATTAGAAAATTTGAATTTTTGGCAAAAACTCAATTATTTTACAATTTTATCTTGTCTATAGTTTATCTTGTCTATTGTTTATCTTGTCTATAGTTTATCTTGTGTATAGTTTATCTTGTCTATAGTTTATCTTGTCTATAGTTTATCTTGTCTATAGTTTATCTTGTATATATTTTATGTTTTCTATAGTTTATCTTGTCTATAATTTATCTTGTCTATAGTTTATCTTGTCTATAGTTTATCTGGTGTATAGTTTATCTTGTCTATAGTTTATCTTTTCTATAGTTTATCTTGTCTATAATTTATCTTGTCTATAGTTTATCTTGTGTATAGTTTATCTTTTCTATAGTTTATCTTGTGTATAGTTTATCTTTTCTATAGTTTATCTTGTTTATAGCTTATTTGCAGCTGCTTTTTATTCAGTTTGGAGTTTTGGTGGTTTGTGTGCAAGCTTACAGGGTTGAACGATACAGAGTGCCCCGGAAGCAGGCTAAAATACTACCTGCCTCAATTCAATCAGAAGACGATGCTATGATTGAAGATTTCAAAGCTAGGTTTCAAACAGAAGACGTTGATGTTAAGGATATTGATGTAATTGATGAAAACATTGAATATGATGATAATGTTGCTATAGCAAGTGCACCTCTAGAAGAGCTGGAGAAGCTGCCAATTCCAGTCCCAAGGAAAGCACATTTTCAATCCATTCCTGAAAGTCCACAAGATGATCAAGACCATGAAGAGCAAAATATGAAAAAAGATGAAGATGGAGAAACGAAAGAGGACAATGTGAGTATGCAAGAGGTATTTGCTGGTAAAGAAATACTTGGCAATCATGTGGACTCCCGTGAGGATGAATCTATATCTGTTCCACCTGTTGGAGCTCTCATGCTTTGCTCTTTCTTTGCTACACAGCACTATGTGCCAAGCTTTTGCTTTAATCAGAAGGGTAGAGAGGATGAATCTAGACCAGGACTAAGAAATGTTTGTGACTTTTATGCTGTACGTGGTTATCTCCCATTCTTCTGCAAGCAAATTAGCCCAAAAGGTAGGAAAAGAACTTCAGAGCAAAAAATGCGCACAGAAAGTGATGTTGCTGCAGATACGGTCTTAGAACAGTTTCTTAGGGGTGGTGGACTTTTCCCCATAATTCCAGTCAAACTTCTGGAGAAGGTTCAAAGGAAGCAGGGCAAACAGGATGATGAAGAAAATGCATCTGAAGTTGAGAGCAGTGGTGAAACTGAAGATTTTGGTGAAAATGAAAATGTTCCTGAACAGGAAGCAGGGGATTTGGATGATGGCGAATACAATTACATTTATGATCCAATTCTGTCCCAGCCCCAGCCTGTACTCATTGATCCTAACACTGGTTTTCCCATTGATCAGAAGAGGGCCAATCTGACATTTGGACAAATATTAGGAGGAACCTTGGCTGCAGGCGCAGGTCTGGCTTTATTGAACAATTATATTAACAAGCCTAAACCAGGTTATAGTCAACAATACAACCCATATCAACAACAAAATGGATTCAACAATCCTTACAACAATCAACAAGGAGGATACAACCCATACCAACAACAAGGGCCTTACAACCAGTATCAGCAACCAGGAGGTTACAACCAGTTTCCCCAACAAAATGGTGGGTATAATCCATATGCTCAGCAGTACAACCCTTACTTGCAATCATCGTTCGGATCCTATGGTGCTTATGGAAGAAGCCTTACAAAATTGGCAGCGGAGCAGTTGAAAGCCAGGCACCATTTAGAACAAGCTTCTTTAAAACAAGCTGTTGATGATAAGAATGCCCGGAGAAGTACATTTAATAAACTAGTAGTGGGTGGATTGGGTGTAGCTACGGCTCTTGCTGTTACAAACAGTATTTTCAGCAGACCATCCTATGGATCATCATACTCGTCATATAATGGGGGTTATGGCAGCCAAATTAGACATCATAGTCATGGAGGATATGGAGGATACAGCGGTCATGGCAACAGATATCCAACTTACGGGAGCCGCTTTCCTTATTACAGATCTGCAGGGGTTGGAATTGGTCCTCTCTTAGCAAAGTGTAAAAATGGAAATTGTGGAATTGCCTCAACTGGAAATGAAGTAGTGACCCCTGAAGATTGCTTAGTAGATTATTACTTTGAGTACAACACCAAACAATACTTCATTTGTGATGACAAAGCGGTAAAGTGGGCCAACCTGGGTGAAGGAAAGGAGTCTGAAGACCATTTCATCCCCAAGCGTGTAAAGAGGGCTGATGAACTTGAAAATGAAGAAGAAGACTCCGGAGAACCAACTATCAACTCTAACAATAAGGAAGATGAAGGCTTATCTCAAGAAGAAGATATGATAATGCCAGCAATGGATGAGCAGGATGTTTTCCCAGCTGATGTTGATGGCAAACCAACAACAGTTAAAAAACTGTTGGAACGAAAAAGAACAAATTTTGCCTCGGCTCCAGTTGCTGATCTAGGGCGTGGATCATTAAACAACTTGGTAGCTGGTGGTTTAGGTCTTGGAGCAGGTGTATATCTTGCAAACAAATTTACAAATCCAAGTTACATATATAATACAGGATATAGAGGTGGATATTTTGGAGGATATGCTGGTGGAAGGCCATATACAGGATATAGTGGAGGATATGGAGGCAGTTACAATGGAGGATATTTTGGAAGAACTGAAGATGAAAGAGAAGTTCTGGCAACTGATGAAACTGGAGATATTGCAACATTAGATGAGTTTGGAGATGTTCTTGTTCTTGATAAATTTGGAAGGGAAAAACTGTCAACAGGACAAACCTTAGCTCTTGGAGCTATTGGAGCAACTGCAGGATATTTCCTGGCTAACAAGTTTTCAAACCGACCATCAAACCAGCAGCAGTTAGAACTTTCATCACAGCAGTACGGTGGATACCCTTTGCAATCTTCAAGCGGATATCCTTCCCAATCCTTTGGTGGATATCCATCACAATCGTTCAGTGGATATCCTTCCCAATCCACCAACGTAAATCCTTTCCAATCCCTCAGCGGATTTACATCTCAATCATTCAGTGGTTATCCATCACAATCAAACAGTGGATATTCTTCCCAATCCTTCAATGGATATCCATCACAATCAAACAGTGGATATTCTTCCCAATCTTCCTATGGATACAACGGCCAACAAGGGTTTGCTGGTCAACAATCTACAAACAATGGATACAACGGACAGTATAGCTCTGGATATCCAAGCCAGCAGTTTACACAAAGTTTTGCGGGACCGAGCCAAACCTCTGCAAACAGTGGATACTACGGATCATCTAATGGTAAACTAAAACATTTTATTAAAATTACAAATATATTTTCATTGTTTACAATTTACTTTTTTAAGAAAAGATTTTTTAATGATCTTAAAATTCTACTTGTTCCAGCTAAACTTTTTTTTCAGTCGTCGTCGCACATATCACTACAATAAAGACGACCTTCGATTTGAATTTTGATTTTATATCAAGCTGTTAAACAGCATGGATACACATAAACATAGACTTTTATTACTTGTAAACTTGTATTACAAAAAAAGCTTGTTAACAATCAAAACTTAAATAAAAAAGTCGTCTTCATTGTATTTATATAATCTCCTGCCATTGTATGAAAATCACAATTCTTTTAGGAAACTACCATTCATATCCACTAGACATCAACAATCTTAGGACTTTTGCAATTGCAAATATCATTGAAAGCGACAATATTGGAGAGGTGAGTATTTTTGTTGTATTTCATTCTTTCGGATCAAATAGTCAAAGTTTGTAATATCAAAATTTAAGAATTAGAAAATAAAAGTTTGAGGCAAGTTTTCAATTCTTTTCTCCATGAACTCAGAATTCTTAAGTGAGATTAAAAAAAGTTAAGCCTAAAATTTTTTAAATTATCAAGGTTTGAAAAGGTAAAAACTGTCTGTAATCTGTAAAACTGGGTGAAATCATTATTCTAGAGTAGGACTATGCAAAGTTTTGTTAATTGACTGAAGTTTTTGAAAAAACGCGTAAAATTCCGTCCAGGAACAGAACGAACTAGTTTTAAAAAACTAACATGTTACTCAGTGAACCTTTTTGTCAAAAAAAATTGAACCAATCATGAACGAGATTGAAAAATAAAGCAACGTGCCCAGATCTATTTCGGATTATTTGTAAAAAAAAAATGGCGCGGCATTTTATAATCCCACTTCCGGTTCTAGGTTGAACAGGAGGCAGGAGAATATGAATTAGGCTGCAAACCTTATGTTGCTTTTTATATTGGGAAAAAACCATTTTACAGGTATCCAGAGAAACAAAGTCTTTTTCACAGTTTACAACCATTTCTTTTAACTTCTTTTTACTAGTGAATTTTTGAGGATAGGGGTTGTATAGGAGCGGGGGCGGTGGGGGGGGGAGAAAGTTTAAGAACAAAAATCTCTTCATACGTTATTGAAAAAATGTGATTTTTAAGAAATAATTTATTTTTAAAGGGACTTTTGACGGTTTTTCAGGTGAATCTTTGCTCAATAGATTGGTATGTCGGATTTACAGCGATGCCCTTGAAACCTTAATCCTTAATGAACAAAGTAACAATGAACAAGATATAAATATTTTCATCTTGAAAATTCTGACAATTTTCTTCATTTTCTATGAAGCATAAACTTTTACAGAGCTAGGAACTTTTGAATGGTGGATATCGGGATTAATGCCTGATCCAATCTTTTCCTTAATCTCCAAGTTAAATTATGCTTGTTCTCTTCTTGTTTTTAATCTCCAGAGCTGGGAACTTTAGAATAGTGGATATCGGGATTAATGCTTGATCCACTCTTTTTCTTAATCTCCAGATTAAATATTGCTTGTTTTCCTCATGAATTTAATCTCCAGATTAATTAACAGATCGGGATTAAGGATATCACATTCTAAAGTTTTCATCTCAGATTAATTAACCGATCGGGATTAAGGATATCCCATTCTAAAGTTTTCAGCTCAGAGCAACCAAAATTGAAAATTTGCATTCCTTTATAAAAAGCTGGTTTTTTGGTATGCAACCATTTTCATTTAATCCCACCGGGATATTTTCATTGAAAGATACTTTGAAAATCTACAAAGGCAAAAAAAATCCGCAAAATCCACAAGCCCTCGGGTTTATCATTGAATCCCCACTTTAAAAAGGAATGTCATTTAACCTCTGCAGACAAATTAGAATCAATGGAAACTTAAACCCCCGAGGGATTCAATGATAAACCAGAGGGCGTAGCCCAAGGGTTTATCATTGTTCAGCTAAACTAAAAAAAGCTGAATATCGCATTCATGGATGATATAGGGCTAAGGTTTAAAGGGTATCGTTGTAAATAATGCCACTCTATCAATGGAGTCTCTTGAAATTACATGTACAGTCCCTTTAAGTCAATTATTGAATTTTTGCTAGTCTGTAGTCTTAACTCATTATTTTTCAGATGCAAGGGTGAGACTTCAGGACGTATAACACAGGACTTAGTTCCGGAGAAAACCGGATATGGATGGAACATTCCTTATGTTTCAACTGGAACAGGTTCCTCAGTTTCCGCATTTGTTCCTGTCGGATCGTATCCGGACAACTACGAGTATTATGAAAAAAATAAAATTTTTCTGGAACAGTTTTCCTAATTCAATAGTTGTTTTACGCAACAAATTCGCATCGCTTCCAATTCCTCGATCTCATTTCGTATCTTATTAATTGCCTAAATGTTGTTTTTCTACCAAAAAAGTTCCCAACTTTAATAAAATTGTATACAACCCTTATCACATGAACTTTAGTATTTTTTATGGTACAATCTAAAACTTCTAGAGTATCTAAATTTATATGCATAAATTGTGTTCATTGAAATATCAATTATCAAATCTACGTCTTTCATGATTTTAATATTTTTGCATTTTGAATAAAATAAATTTTAAGAATTAATAAATAGTTAATCTGCAGATCAAATATAAAGAATAAAAATAAGTGAAGGTCTAAGAAATACAGAGGTAGCAACAACAAAAAACTTTAGAATTCATAGTTTGAGAAATCGAAGTTCTACGACATCTGGTTACAAAGATAAAGGGATAAAAATCTGAGTTTGTGGCAAAAATGCATTTCCTTTGCTTTTCTCTTTTTCATAAAATCAAAATTAGAATCGTAAATTAGTAATGTCACATAAAGTTGGGTGATTTTAATTATGGTTCATGCAGTGCAGTGTAGTAATCTATATAGAATTAGGCTTTTAGAGCTCTTCGCGACCATGTCCTATTTAATTTGTAAACATTTTCTCTTTAAATACATTGTTAAACAAAACAAAAAAACAAATTCGCGGATTTTATAAACAAAAATTTCGTGGATTTTCAAAACTTTCAAAAACCAAATTTCGTTAGAGGCATACCTTTTGAAAATACGATCGCGCATGAACCTTCCTTGGGGTCACGTGAGGTCCCACGAAAAAATTGGGCCCGATCAATTCAGCCGTTTTGATGTTTATTGTTTACAAACAGAAACCCAAGGAAAGTATTTATGGATGCTTGTTCGTGTGTCTACGTTTGTATCAAATAAACGTCAAAACGGCTGAACCGATCCGGCTCAAATTTTTTGAGGGACCTCATATGGCCATAAAGAAGGTTTATGAATGGCCATAATTTAAAAAATTTGCCTGAAAAAAATCATTTTTTCAATATCTACGAAAAAATCAATAAATCCACGAAAATGTACTTGTTCTTAAATTTAAAAAAAAAGAGGACAACTGTGTTCTGGTTCTGTCAGGAGTGAAAATTTCGAGAAATCAAGTTTTTTAAGAAGTTTTTGCGTGGTTTGCT